TGGGTGGAAAAGAGTTAGATAGGAACAAATAACCCAAACTTTGTTCAGTTCTGATGCCATACTCAATGGGAAAACATTTTTTAAAATTCGAAAACATTTTATGCGTCGAATTGCCCTTTCAACATGAACTCGAACTGCTGCAATTCTCCTAGTCTCATTTTCATCACTAACCGACAGCTGAGGGGCTCCATTTAAAAATGGTGGGATATTAAGTTTAACTCCATCTGGCATGTCATTCTCAATATCAAAGCCTCTATCTGCCATGACATCGTCACCTGGTTCTAGCATGTTTAGAATATGACAATCTCTTGTGATTTGCTTATCACTTGACCGCCCCGCATACAGCTCTGATATAAATGTAGGGTATCCGGCAGGGGATATTCCAATAAGCCCTTTGGCGGTATTGTGGTTTTTATATGAAGAATAGGTTGCTGACTGACTTCTAAACGATGTTGGCATTTCGATATATATTTCAGTGCAGTCGATAATGACACGGGTATTTGGATAGGCATCCTTGAAAGATTGTGGCATGGTTTGTTGAACATGTTCACGTGATGCCCATATGGGAAGGGCCCTTAGTCTATGGTAAAGAAAATCCAACCAGGTGGTTTCAATGCGTGAATACTGGGCTTGTGAAATCCCAAACCTGTTGGCAATGTCAAGTCCCAACAGCCCACATCTTAATCGAACTAGGATCATGAATAGCTCTTGTTCTGGTGGTAGTGACCTTGTTCTACCATGTTTCGCTTGTGTTTCTGATGCATGTTCAGTGTTATTTGAGCCAATGTACATCAGGAAATTACATGCTGGTTGTAGATAATCAAAGAATACTTTAAAAGTTGCATAATTTGGAAAACTTGTGTAAAATTTGAAGTTTGCATCACTTGCAATGACATGTTCAATTCGAAGTACGTGTTGTTTGTATTTGGTTGATAACTCGTCATATTTTTGTTTTAACTCAGCATGTTCACTTCTAAATCATAGTTTAACTGTAGCTCATTCATTTTCGTATTTTCATTCGTTGTTTCAAGAAGAGTACTTGGACCATTGTTTGTCTTAGGGCCTGAGCATTTTCTACCTTCACTGCTGTTGTTTGTTTGTCTATATGATGACATAGGAGTAGTTGGTAATGAATTTAATACTTTCTTGCCACCAGGAAAGTGTAGTGAGCAGACTTTGTGGCTTTTTAAAGGTTGTTTTTGTATACCTAATAAATTTAGCCATGTTTCTTTAAAGCTTGACTCCCGAGGAAATTGGTGGAATGACAATTCCGGATTTTTCATGCTGTTGCTTTTACAAAGTGGTACACAACATGTTGTTCCTCCTTTCTTTTTCAACACAGTTTCATTTGCAGTCTCCATCTTTTTTTTTTCGAAAAACACACCAAAACACGAAGCAAAAGCGGTCAAAGCCAACGAATTTCGAGCAGCGACAGCGAGCGTCAAGTAACTTAAATACACGAACAAATATTTCTCTTTGTAAATTCTTTAACAGCAGCCAATAGTACTTAAAAGTACTGTTTAACAGTTTAAATCTTTGATACTGAAAAAGCCGATACTTTGAATGGATAGTTTTCGCGCCAAACGTCCTCAATGTTTTGGTTTGTAATGGAACACTTGATCAAGCATGTGTTGTTTTAAGCCGGCTTGATGTGAAAACACTTTTGCCTCTGGAACTATTAACTAGGACTCGATCGCAGAACTGCCTATTGTAAGTGATGAACAAGTGTGTCTTACTTATTTTACACAAATTTTAGCGATGTACTTACCTTTAAAATGTGTGAAAAGTCTAAATTTGTGTTCGTTCATGTCCGATCGAAGCCATGTTCGCCTTCGCCCGGGTCGATCGTCATGTTAAATATCTCAAAATCAATGACTCTTAGAGATCCCATGTTAGACTACAGACTAAAACAAACCTCACAGAATGTCGGAAAGCTTTTATTGAGAACTAAACGAAAATATTACTCGTGTAAATTTCATCTATTGACCACGCACGCATATGCAAAGTGAACAGCCGCCATCATGCAAATTCTGCCATGATAACTAAACTACCATGATGCTTTGCGTTAGCGCAAGTTGTGAATTGTTGTCAACAATTCCTAAAATTTGTTTATAGTAAAACAGCCTGCTCAGCACTCACTACTCACGATGATTTCATGTAGAAATGCAGTTACCAGGAAAGGAACTGATTCTAAATTATGTAAATTTAAAAGCATTGGCTATTACGATGTGAAGACAAGGTACAAACTTTTATAGTTGCTATTTGTTATAAATCCTATAATTAAACCGATTCAACAATAATTTTGCCTCGAATTTGGAGTCAAGTAGCAGCTCTCGCAAGGTCTTAGCTCATTGGCTAAAATGAATGTTCCGGTTTCGAGGGTTTCAAATTGGTGACTTCCGGTTTAGAAATTCACGTTTGTCAGGAAATATTTTCAAATATTCGTGGACGAATTTTTTGTGGTTTCGATGGTTTCAATGGTTTCAAGGGCTTCAATGGTTTAAAGGATGTGAAGGGTTTCAAGGGTTTCAATGGTTTCAAGGGTTTCAAGGGTTTCAATGGTTTCAATGGTTTCAAGGGTTTCAAGGGTTTCAATGGTTTCAATGGTTTCAAGGGTTTCAATGGTTTCAATGGTTTCAATGGTTTCAATGGTTTCAATGGTTTCAAGGGTTTCAAGGGTTTCAAAGGTTTCAATGGTTTCAATGGTTTCAATGGTTTCAATGATTTCAATGGTTTCAATGGTTTCAAGGGTTTCAATGGTTTCAATGGTTTCAAGGGTTTCAATGGTTTCAAGGGTTTCAATGGTTTCAATGGTTTCAAGGGTTTCAATGGTTTCAAGGGTTTCAAGGGTTTCAATGGTTTCAATGGTTTCAAAGGTTTCAAGGGTTTCAAGGGTTTCAAAGGTTTCAAGGGTTTCAAGGGTTTCAATGGTTTCAAGGGTTTCAAGGGTTTCAAGGGTTTCAAGGGTTTCAATGGTTTCAAGGGTTTCAAGGGTTTCAAAGGTTTCAAGGGTTTCAAGGGTTTCAAGGGTTTCAAAGGTTTCAATGGTTTCAAGGGTTTCAAAGGTTTCAAGGGTTTCAAGGGTTTCAAGGGTTTTAATGGTTTCGATGGTTTCAAGGGTTTCAATTATTTCAAGGGTGTTGATGGTTTCAAGGGTGTCGATGGTTACAAGGGTGTCGATGGTTACAAGGGTGTTGATGGTTTCAAGGGTTTCAATGGTTTCAAGGGTTTTAATGGTTTCGATGATTTCAAGGGTTTCAATGATTTCAAGGGTGTCGATGGTTTCAAGGGTGTTGATGGTTACAAGGATGTTGATGGTTTCAAGGGTGTCGATGGTTACTAATTCTAAGACGCTCTTTCTAGCTGTTAAAGTGGTATATTTCGTTGTTCTTATTTAGATTAAAATTTAGTCTAAAGCGCAAGTCGTCCATTTGTTTAGCTAACTCAGGTGAGGCGCTGAGGCCTATCGAATGAAGTAAGGCACAGAGGCCTATTTAATGAATCATGTATGGCACGGAGGCCTATGAATGAATCATGTAAGGCACGGAGGCCTATGAATGAATCATAAAAGTTGTGCTCTCCTATATATGTTCAGAGAGGAACGTTTTTTCTTGCAGTGTCATGTTGTGGGAAGATTCTTACAATCTTCTTGCGGTAACCGTTCCCGTCCATTACGCACTTGTGGTAACTAAATATTTGCTTGCTCATGCATGACTAAGCTAAAAGAACTTCCCGTGTGTAAAACAATTTCTCATAGGTAAATTCTTTAGAGTAAATATAATATAACTAAACTATGATATATAATATATATAGTAAAATGTATTAATGTATAATATAAAATGTTATAAAATATACATGATAATTGCTATCATGTAACACCCCCCCCCCCACTTTTCTAATGGTCCGCCCCTTACTTGACTAAAAAAATGGCTGTAGAGTCCAAAATGGTGGCTGTGTAAACACAGAGTGACAGCTTATGCTTGTAAATATTGAAATATTCGGGATGTTTCGGCAGATTTATTGAAATTTTTCAGCATTATCAGCACAGTATGATACTGTACCTCGTTCCCAGGGCTTTTCCCTTTTTCTCTTCTATGTATTCTGATTTGTCAATGACAAGTCATTATTATGCAAATAATGCAATCTTGGATTAATTTATTCAAACTTTGGGATAAATTAACATATTATGCAAGGGGGATTTAAATACTTTGTCCGTCTATGAAATATTTTTGGCAAAATCTGTGGGAAAATGGTTAAATTCGATAAGATTTATACACAATTTGTCGAAGGTTAGTATTATTGTTTATTTTAAACTGTGAGAGAAGATTAATTGTGTACTAGAACACACCTCTGAGGCTCAGACCGAGTATTTAGGGCAAAATGTGCCTTCATATTTGGCTTCGTATAGCCATAGGCAGCCCAAATGATGTTGTAGATTCTTGTATTATCAATTAAACACAGTTGTTTTTATCAAAAACACAGTACAATAAAAACCAATCTCGTTCCCCGAGCATGCGCGTGCGTAATATAGGGGAATGAGACTAGTTTTTTATTGTACTGTGTTTTTGTTTCGTTCCCCGCAGGAACGAAACGGTGCTGTATTTGGTTTCGAGCAATTATCACAGGAAAGTGACGTCAGAGATCAAAGTTATCCAATCCTTTGCCAGTATTCTTGTTCAAACGTCAATTACATTTAGAATCGTCCAATGAGATAACCGCTCCTAGCATAAGAAGTTTTTTTCAGGCGTGGCGTATAATTCGGAAATCTTAGTTAATTATATATCAACCTATGAGAACATGCTAACTTAACCTGAAGTTCAGGCCCTAATTTTAAATAGGGCCTGACACAAAACCTGTCTAGACCGTGGGACGCGCTCACATGTTATTTTTAGACACAGCATGCAATATGATTGACAAGTGTTATAGATTTCGTTACACAAAAAAGATCGTGACTAAAACACCACACGAGTACATACGAGTAACATACGAGTAACACACAGGTACATACGAGTACATACGAGTAACATGCGAGTACATACGAGTAACACACGAGTACATACGAGTAAAACACAAGTACATACGAGTAGGATACGAGTAAAATACGACTAGTAAACTTGTTTTTAGTGTTTGTAGATTGAATACAGGCAAAAAGATCGTCTTTTCTGTCGAAAAACGTGAAATAGACTGAAACCGGCTATCTTTAAAACCCGGAACGGGGAATGGGGGGACGGGGAATGGGAGAACGGGAAGTGGGGGAACGGAGGGAATGGAGGGGCGAGGGAGAAAATAGGAGACAGGGGGCGGGGGAGGTCTGCCAGATTCTATAAACCACAACTTTGTAGTTTGTACAACATCTACTTTTAGGTATTCTACCTAGATGGTTAGATAGATGACACAAACCATAGGCTTCACATATTTCACGGCATGGTTTATTGGTTTGCTTTCAAAACCCTGTGAGCATGCACAAAACCTAACTCACTAACTGCATCTATATAAATAGTTGTCGAATAAAGCTCAATATTTTGGACACAAAAATGTAAACAAAGACTTTGTTTACATACGGACTGTAGATCACCTTTAACAATAATTTATCCATTACTTATTATTAAAGGGGGATAGCAATGGCCGTGGGTCACGTGTGTGGCCGACATACCGCGAATGAATAGGGGGGTCTGGAGGCATTAACTCCCCAGAAAATTTTTGAAATTTCAAGCCCAAAAATGCCATTTCCTGCCGTCTGAGCATCTAAATTTTCTAGAATTTATCCTAACTATACTTCTATTTAAAATAAAAGAAGGAAAAAACACACAAAGAATTTAAAAAATATTAACAATAATTTATCATTACTTAGTGTTAGAAACACGTAGGATGCCACGCGGTGACACTGTCCTTTAAATCGATTTTGTTAAACAAGGACAAAGGATAAAGCCTAAAACGTATGTTCCGTTTATCAATTTGTTATTCTTCGCTGGTTTGTTTCTATAAATTTAGGAAAAAGGGACTTTTCCCGGGGGGGGGGGCAAAATGTGATTTCGTGGGGGGGGCGCAAGGAGAGACTGGGGGCAAATGCCCCCCTCCAGCTTGTATGTTAAAAAGGCCCTGCAGGACAAATCCAGTTTTCAAGTGAGCCTCAGAACGTGCATTTTCATTTCCGATCAGCCTGCATCAGAGCAAAGTATCCAAGCTTTCTTGGCGACGTTCTCGTTCCTCCAGACTTTCCTCCCCTTCTCAAGGTGGAGCACGTCCAAAGGCTTGCAGGAGAGTTCGGCTGGGTCCTTTAGAAACGAACTTGCCAACTTAAATTGCTAACTTAAAATCTGCGTATTTTGAAGTATTTTGTGTTTTGTTAGTTTTGCTTTGTCGGATATTTAAAATAGGATAATCACTTTAAGATATCATATGGAGCATAAGGACCGCCTTGGGCTTGCATCTAGTCCTTAAGTTTGTTTTATTATATAGCAAGTATATTAGTAATGACCAGGGGCGAATCTAGCCCCTTTTAATTAGGGGGGTGTCTGGCAGAATTGCCCTGCCAAAACCAGTGATGCCCTGCCAAATTTTTTCCGGAAAAATTATTTTGGCGTCCCCCCCCCGTCGCCAAAAAAATTTTCCGGACAACCTATATTTTTCGGAACATAACACAAATTTTCGAAAAATCACACAATTTGCGAAAAAATTTACTTAATTTTAGCTAAAATTGACTGAATTTGTCCCATTTTTTTTTTTCAAACCAAAATTGCCCGACTGTTGATCGAATATTGCCCCGGCCCGGTACGCCTATGTGCTATCACTTATTTATAAGAGACCTTTGATTGCCCTGCCAATCGGGATGATTCGTATTTTGGGGGGGTGCAACACCCCCCATACCCCCCCTCAAGTTTCGCCCCTGGTAATGACATAAGCAATGTTATTATTATTAATATTACTGAATGATCGGACATAAGCAATGTGGATTGACTTTTTTATGATACGCTGTACTAATAAAGGAAAGCTTCGCTAAATTTCTTTGCTAGTTTTAATTCACTGAGCGGTTTTCTAATTCCCAAGACACCAGAGTCCGTTTTATAGTTTCGTAATTCCCTGATTCCCGTTTATCCTGTCGAATTTCTGTTTCTTTTTTCTGTTCTTTTCCCCCCGTACATATGATTAATATTACGTATTAATAATAATTCATAATTGCTCGATTCCCCCCCCCCCCGTTACTCGTTCCTCCATTCCCCGTTCTCCGTTCCCTCCATTCCCTGTTCCTCCATTCCCCGTTCTCCCATTCCGCGTTTTTCGACAGAAAAGACGATCTTTTTGCCTGTATTCAATCTACAAATACTAAAAACAAGTTTACTAGTCGTATTTTACTCGTATGTACTCGTATTCTACTCGTATGTACTCGTATGTACTTGTGTTTTACTCGTATGTTACTCGTATGTACTCGTGTGTTATTCGTATGAACTCGTATGTTACTCGTATGTACTTGTGTGTTACTCGTATGTACTCGTATGTACTTGTGTGTTACTCGTATGTTACTCGTATGTACTCGTGTGGTGTTTTAGTCACGATCCACAAAAAAATTATATTCTACATGTCCGCAGAGGATCGTGACTAAAACACCACACGAGTACATACGAGTAACATACGAGTAACACACAAGTACATACGAGTACATACGAGTAACATACGAGTACATAGAGTAACATACGAGTACATACGAGTAACACACGAGTAACATACAAGTACACACGAGTAACATACGAGTACATACGAGTACACACGAGTAACATACGAGTAAATACAAGTACATACGAGTACATATGAGTAAAATACGAGTACATACGAGTAAAATACGAGAATTAGCACGCTTTCTTTAAAGTTTCTTTCACTTTCACTTTGGCTTCGTATTATGTTCATGTTGTAAATGCCTTATTGACATAGGCGTACGAGACAGGGGCGCGGAGGGGGCGGGGGGAGGCAACTGCCCTCCAAAATTTTGGAAAACCATGGAAATTCGGGCAAACGCTAGGAAAAATCAAGAAAATTCGAGCAGATTTATGAGGAAATATGTTAAAATCAGGTTATTTCTTTACAATTCTCCATAAAAATTCGGGCAAACTTTCAACTCCCTCCCCCCTCAGAAAACATCAGCCCCGTTTTCCTATGTGTTTTGCAAATTTAATACGTCAATTGTACACCTGTTAATACGTTTTCAACAGGGAAAGATAAAATGCTTAGTGTTTATTATTTATCGGTTGGGGGGGGGGGCTGGTAAAATAATGGGGGGATATATTTTATGGGTGTAAAATAAAAAGAATGGTTTTGGGGAGACAATAAAATTTTATAGCATTGATAAAAAGAAGATAGTAGAGAGATAGTGGCGTAGCCGGCGTAAAAGGCGTGAGCCATTTTAGGGGAGGTCTGGGGGCATGCTCCCCCAGAATATTTTGAAATCTAGAGTCCCTGAAATGCGATTTCCTGCATTTTCGGGGTTTGAGTTTGCATAAGTCCGAAGACTGTATAATGCATAAAAGACATGATTTTTCGTGATGGAAAATGATGGGTTAAAATAAAGCGAATTACTTTTAAAACCGAATGATGATTGAAAGTAAATATATTTTACATTTAAAAACCCAAAGTAAACCCTTTCTTCTTGAGGCCATATGTACTTACTTAGACAAGATTATACACAATTATATTGTGGATTTGGATTTTATTTCACCCCCCTCCCCGTTGGCTAAATCCTGTCCAGCATCCCCAAGTTGAAGGTCCTCTCTACGCCCCTGGTTGTAATTAAAGAGCACACAAGAATAGGATGGGAAGAACTACCATACGGCCATACTATGTTCTTCTTAACTTTATTGTTGGAGGGGGGTGAAAAATTTTCAGACTGTTCTAAAGGGGTGGACTACATTTTTAAACACATTAAAAGGGAGGGTCATTTTTATTATGTTGTTTGAATTTTAGAATCTAACAGCTCCTTCCCCCCTCCCCAACCGATAAATAATGAACCCTAAGTATTTTATATTTCCCGGTGTACAATTCACGTATTAAATTTGCAAAACACATAGACTACAGACGTATAAACAACATGGCAAACATGCACTTTCATGTACTACAAAAACTCTCTGATAGCCTGTGAGCAATATACTACATTTAAACCTTTTTAGAGTCTTAGAACATACAAATCTTTATTCTATATTAATGAATTACTTTTTCTACGTGGTGCGAGGCTTCGAAATCCATCAATACGCATAGGAGAACGGGGCTGATGTTTTTTGGGGGGAGGGGGCAGTTGAAAGTTTGCCTGAATTTTTATGGAGAATTGTAAAGAAATAACCTGATTTTAACATATTTTCTCATAAATCTGCCCGAATTTTCTTGATTTTTCCTAGCGTTTGCTCGAATTTCCATGGTTTTCCAAAATTTTGGGGGGCAGTTGCCCCCCCCCCCCGCCCCCTGTCTCGTACGCCTATGTCAATAAGGCATTTACAACATGGACATAATTCGAAGCCAAAGTGAAAGTGTGAAAGTGAAAAAAACTTTAAAGAAAGCGTGCTAATTCTCGTATTTTACTCGTATGTACTCGTATTTTACTCGTATGTACTCGTATTTTACTCGTATGTACTCGTATGTACTCGTATTTACTCGTATGTTACTCGTGTGTACTCGTATGTTACTCGTATGTTACTCGTGTGTTACTCGTATGTACTCGTATGTTACTCGTATGTACTCGTATGTTACTCGTATGTACTCGTATGTTACTCGTATGTACTTGTGTGTTACTCGTATGTTACTCGTATGTACTCGTGTGGTGTTTTAGTCACGATCGTAATTTTAGCCGTCTGGGAGGGTTAACATAACATAACATAACATAACATAACATAACATAACATAACATAACATAACATAACATACTATTTCTAATTGTTTTTGTTTGTGGAAACACCACGTAAATTTATTACTGCAAAGCTTAAGCAAACAAAAACAATTATATTTTATCGCCATGCAAACATTCAAAGAACTTACACTATTTCTGGTTATATATGTGATTCAAACTAAGTTATATATAGTGTTCACTGCATGGGCTTTCTTTTTTTATATAGTTAGTATGTATAATAGATTTTTCATATTTGTAAATATTCTAACGGCCCCTTGAAAAGCAGTTTAAACTGAAGGGCTACCGTTTTTAAATAAGATGAATAATAATAATAATATCTACAACTGCTTTAACGAGATTTTACAAATCAAGTTCCTCCAGTATATCGTCGTTTTCCTCAGTTGAGACGTACTTAATCAGTTCCAGCTTCGAGGATGTAACGTGTACCCCCCGCCCCCCCCCCAATTTCTCTACAGATTTAGCCTTTTTCAGAGAATGGTTTTTTTGCGATTGGGGGGGGGGCGGTCGCCCCCCTCGCCCCCCTTGGCTACGCCACTGATGCTGCATGAACACAAGAGTGCGTAAACACAATTGAATTGAATTTTTAATTACCAGGCGCATGAAATCCTGTGCTTAACAACAATAGGATAATTGGGGGGGGGGGGACACCCTGTAGTACAATGTTTTTAGAATATGCATGATTCAGAACTAATTGATCCCAAGCGTGCGGAAACACAATAGTTGACCCATTCGCAGTCGAACTGATAATTAGTTTTCTGCTTTACGAATAATTCTATCAACGGGGTTAATTAGAATGTATTTTCAAATCCCAGGAGCAAAATAAGTAGCACCGACATTGAAATGCTAGTAGGCAGCAGAATTATGCAAATTATAGTGTTTGCAAGTTTTTTTATACACCCTGTGGGCTGTAGCTTTCGAAGTAACGTGGCTTTAATTTGACGTCCTTGGATGCAAATTTTGCTCCATGACCATGTTGGTCGGTATTCAGTTCTTAATTAAACAACTTCGCTTCAGTAAAATCAAAAGAAAGGCAATTTGGCGAAGAAGTATATTCAAGCGAAGTAAAATATCAGCTAAGCACTTTACTTTACTCTTTCTTTAGCTTGATTCACATATGCCTGCGGTATGGCTGCGCTATCAGACCCTATTATTGTTCACACCTTTTCGGAGAAGTTGTTGATGCAATTCTTTTGTGAATTATTTGGTTGAACTACTATAACGACAATACTCAATAGCCCGCCGACATAGCGCGGGTGTAGTTAGGTATATGTGAATCGGGCTTTTATGTTTAAGCCTGACTCGTTCCCAGTCGCTCGCGTTGGATCATGGGAATTGCGTTGGATCATGGGTTTCTGAGCGACTGGGAAATCCTGTATTCAAGATTGGGTCCATACATAATGGCGGACGCTATATCCAACTACATGATATAGTCTGTAGTAAATTGAAGTCACTCGACATTAATCCATTTATCGCTTCCGCGGTAGCAAGCAATGCATAACCTAAACTTTAGCGACAATGGACTGCATGCAAAAGATGCGCTGTGCGAAGGACTGCATGCAAAAGATCAATAACAGTACACCGTTCTGGATAAAATAATGGCAATGTGCAGGAGCACAATGCCGATTTAATGATTAACACAAAAATAACAAATTACAGATAAATGTTACAAATTCAGTATTCATGCATAGCACAGAAAAGGTGGGGTGTTAAAAAACGCCCCATATACCAAAACCGCCGGTAACGTGTATCGTAGGACGCAAAATGAGTCAAGGGAGGGCGGGAGGGAAAGGAAAACTTGTGCGGAGGACTTGAAAACTTGCCTTGCGAAGCCAAAGGTGAATGACCTTGAGCTGTTAACGCTCAACGTTTTTATATAGTAGGCCCAAGATGCACGTGAAGCGTGACATGGAAATTCACTGATGTGTTGCAAAATTCCACGGGAAATAAAACTGGTTGGACGAGTTTCCCTGCCAGGTTCCCTCCATAACCCCATTCTGCGTGCTACCCGAATCCCTAAATATCCCTACAAAATTCCCACGGAAGCAATAAATTGATTATTCGCTGAAGCAAATAACTCCTTTATCGCTTCCGCGGTAGCAAGCAATGCATAACCTAAAATTTAGCGGCAATTTATCAGCCTGATGAGCTCCGTTTTCTGTGCGAAGGACTGCATGCAAAAGATCAATAACAGTACAACGTTCTGGATAAAATAATGGCAATGTGCAGGAGCACAATGCCGATTTAATGATTAACACAAAAATAACAAATTACAGATAAATGTTACAAATTTAGTATTCATGCATAGCACAGAAAAGGTGGGGTGTTAAAAAACGCCACAAGCCGACTAGAAGGAGGCACCCCACCCCATCAGGCAGAGAAATCGCCGCCAGAGCCGATAGACTAGAAAGCAAGGCAAACGGCCACTCATGACATCCAAAATAATCAGCGAAGTCGCATAAGAATGTAACCTAAAATACCACTACTGGACGTATAAATTTAATAATAGACGTATGGCACTGACAGTAAATTAGAACTCTGAAGCCGACCATGAACCTAGCCCCTGCATCAGCACACGGATGGGCAACAAAGTACATTATAAAAACTACACCAGCTGAAACCATGAAACCTTAACAAAGTCTCGCCAGCCTAGCCCCTGCATCAGCTAGACGAGTGTTATCACGCGTTAAATGTGCTGTTCATTAACGAGACATATATTTGTGGCCTACTATTAACCGTTTGCCTCACCAATACAAGAATGCAGCCACCGTCAGTCGCAGTTAAGACGAAGCCGAACTTAAGCTTGGTATGTGAATATACTTGAGGAATGCATCGGATCGCCAGCGCCCCATAGCACGAATTTGGGCATCAGAAAAACCGCACTCTGCCGCAAAAGTGGCTGCGCCAATACGGAAACTGTGGCCTTTATACTTCATGGTATCAAGACCACAGCCGCGAAAAAGCATTGATAGAAACTTAGTAAATAACGCGCGGGGAACGGCGGAACTGACGATGGCTGCAAACTCGCTCGTAGCAGAGTAGAAGTTATATCTGCCAACTGTGTAGAAGAAGCTGGGCGGGAATCACCGAGGGATAAATCTGCACGCCCGCCGGCGCCAGTTCGCGGAATTTCGAAACCTGTAAACGTGACAAAGCATCAGCCAAAGTATTTTTGGCACCTGGAACATGCTTAGCACGAAATAAAATGTTAAATTTCAAGCAAGCTAGAATCAGCCGACGGACAGATATCATCACAGTGGGATCCCGTGAAGTAGTCTTATTTATGATCTCGACCAATGCTGCGTTGTCCGTGTAAAATAGTATGCGTTGGTTTCGCATGAGATGACCCCATAAGTGGACACTGAGGACAATTGGAAAAAAACTCTAAAACCACAATGTTGAGTTTTTTCCAATCCTCAGGCCAAGGCCCATCAGGCCAAGGCCCATAAAACCAAAAGTTGCCAAATATAGCGCCAAAGCCATGACCCGCAGCGGCATCAGTATACAAATTCAAAAGGTTGGAAGGGGGCCAATCATCGGAAAGAAAAAACGACCGGCCATTGAAATCATCCAGAAAGGATTTCCAAAGGCCTAAATCTGCTTTAACTGACCTTGTTAGACGAATACGATGAAAGGGGGCATTAACACCTTTAGTTAAATCAATGAAACGCCGCAGAAAAGCCCGACCCGGTGGTACGACAGTACAAGCGAAATTAAGCAGACCAATCAAAGATTGAACCTCTTTTAAGGTTGCCTTTCGACAGCAAAGATATTCGGAAAGAATACTGCGCGTTTTCAATATTTTGTCAGCTGGTAAACGAGCCTCCATTATATTCGTGTCTAACTCGATGCCAGCAAAAGTCAAAATTGTGGAAGGGCCGACCGTTTTCTCAGGAGCGATTGGCACCCCCAAATACTCGCACAGGGACAAAAAACCCTCAAGGCAGTGCAACATTGTTCGTAGGATGCGCCTGCCATTAGGTAGTCATCAAGGATATGAATAAGATGTGGAATGTTACACCGAGTTTTAGCAACCCACTCAAGAGCAGTGCTAAACATTTCGAATGTGCGGCAGGAAGATGCACACCCCATGGGCATGGCTTTATCATAATAATACTTTCCTTGCCACATGATACCTAACAGAGGGTAATCCGCTGGACGAATGGGTATAATGCGAAAAGCACTCTTTTTGTCCGTTTTAGCTAAAAAACAGTCTTTACCTAATTTTTTTATAATGGCAATTGCATCATCCACACGACTATAAGAAACAGTAGTGTGTTCAGGCGAAATGCCGTCATTGATGGACGGCCCTCGTGGAAAAGATAAGTGGTGAATAAGCCGAAACTCGCCTGGAATCTTCTTAGGCACAACCCCCAAAGGAGAAACACGGAAATTGAAAAGGGGGAGGGGAGGGGCCTACAATTCGACCCGCCACAATTTCTTTCGCAAGTTTAGCACCAACAACTCCAGGGTTTTGATTTGCCGAAATCACGTTTTTTGAACAAAAAGAGTTGTGACCACCCTCAAAGTGAAGAGGAAACCCATAGGTAAAACCCTCAAACAACATTAAAACAACTTTGACAACATATCCTTGTAACAAAGGCAAAAGGCGATCAATTTTTATTGGGGTTGGAAGTGCGCACACCTGCTGCTGGTTTTGTAATGGTGGTTCTGCCTGAGGGACGAAAATTACAGCTTTTAGCGGAGTGCGCAGCTCCACACTTAAAACAGGTATGCTTGTAAGAACAACCTGTGCACTTAACCCCCTTATGGAATGCATGGCAGAAACCAATTGGGACAAATGGACCCAACTGCGAGGTACGCCCAGAAGGCTGTGCAATATTTGACCGAGCTGGAGCAATATGCGCAAAACTCTGTGCACGAATCCACAACTCAAAATGAGTTGTGCCCCAAGGCATCTCATGTGCTCTTGTTTGTCGTAGCGATCGAAACTGAGTGTCATAAAATCTCCAATTTGCTCCTCGTGCAGCCAAATCTCGCACAACCTCCGCATATTTCATTAAATTGGGCGCTTCTTGCGGAAATGTACTGGTGTAAACCCCAACAAAAATCTGGAAGGCTGATGTCCACGCATCAATGCTGTATATGGGTTTAATCTTAGAGGATGGCTCTAATGAAAGTGTTGGCACCGAACTCCCACTCTGTGCCAGTGAAAGCTGATATCTTGTTTCGCCCACATAGGGGTTCAATAGCGAACCAAACTCAATAAACTCATTCGCCCAAATTTTAGCCTTTATTTTGGGACTGACCTGAGCATCAATCGGGATGGTAATAGAATTAAACTGAACATGGGAGCCAGATGATGGTGGACGCACAACCTCCAGATTAACATGCTCACCTGTGAGGTGCTCTAAGGCTGATGCCACTGGCCCCTGCACTTGGGCACCAGTCTCAGAGCGACCATTAAGGGGTACCTCCCTGGTGTAAACAACCGCAGAAGGAGTTGGTGACTGTATGGCCGCAACGACTGCCTGGGCAACCACAGATGCAATCCTTGTTACGGTTGCATCTGCGAGATCCGAGACAGCTGTCGCAGCCGATGAAGTTGCCTGAGAAGACGCAGCTGTAGCCATGGGAGGAGCTGGTTCCCTTGCTTGAACATTGCTGGATGCGCGTCGAGACCAAGATATCGATTGGGCACGGCGTTGTATTCTGGTGCTGGGACGGGTGGCTGGCATAGTCTAAAGAAAAACTAGAGCAAGCATCTGCAAACAACATATATATTCAAACACACACATCTAGGAGTAAGTAGTAATGTATCGGGAAATGACATCTAAACACAAGTGACAATAACAAATAATCCAATCGTTAATGGACAACACAAGTTTTATTGAGCATGGCATACCACAAAGGTAGCCGAACACACAACTGGGCAAAAGCACTTAACAACATGATGGCAACCCACTGTATATTGAATCCAGCTATGGGCACCTGGAATAAAAATCCTGTCCCATGTAGGCATACATTCAGCAGAAAAGCAACAGTGGCCTAAATTTATGCTAACAAGCACATAAATTCAAAGACAAAACATGACTGTAAAACCAATACAGAAATAGCACAACATATAAATACCATAAAACAAACAACATCAACAAACTGGACAGATTTACCATCTATGCCAAGCCACTTGTTTCATGAATGGCTACCTCCCAGCTGAATATAATTGCTGAATGCTCAACAGGGTTCACAACAGCCATAACCATGTGTGCACACCCAAATATTCATAGATTCCTTGGGCCCAGGGTGATAAACCTGCCATCAAGGAAGGCTATCCAAAGATGGCAACAAACTTTATTGAACAAATCAGCATACAACAATCAATATGTATAGTACAACAACCAAGTAACATTTTGCCGTTGTCTGCACAGTTCTAATTGAGTTTGGCGAATACAACGGAACGTCAATGAAGACGTGATCATCAACAACAGAATTTTGCTCCATAAATTATATTCTCTTGGGCATTTTGGTTTGGCGTCCGTAGTTGTTCAAATCGTTCGAATTTGTGTGGGGTGCTTTATGTGAATTCACTGACCATTGCTATTTAAGGGTTTTTAGTAAAGAAAGTTAAGTTTAAGAGGCAAATAAAGTAATGTATACATAATGACTCGCATACAAAAATGCAAGTAATTTTGTTTTCCGCCGTTGTCATCAGTGAACATCACCACGTGACGTCATCTGTGTACCTATAACTGACAATGGCAAAATGAATAATAAACCAATCACAACAAAACCTATTCTTGGGTTTCATATGACGTCACGTGGGGATGAAGGGCAGAGGACGGCTTTTATTGTTTTATATTGGCTTTTATAATAGTCGGAAAACTTATTTAAATAAGATGCGTTGACAGCCATTTCGTTTCTTTGTTGTTTTTGTTGACCTCAGTTCAATGATCCCTCCCACCTAACTGGAATATACTAAAATATCACGTGATTGAAACCCAATAATTCGTTTTGCCTCAAAACCAACATATCTTGTTTACCTTTGCCATTTTACCCTTTCTTCCAAGGAGACTAAACTTTCTGGATTTTGTCGATGAAGGAAATAAAGCATGTAGTCAAAGGACCACGAGAATAGCATAAGATAAAGTGCTAGAGGATAATGAAGGAAGGACTATTCTCGGTTTTGAATTTCACTTCCCCGGTTCCTGCACAATCCTTGACTCTTCCACAGTCCCTCACACTTGCCTCGAAAACAGGCAGGCGCTTGCGGGTTGGAGCACTGGTAGGACGCAAACTATGGACGCAAAGGCCATCATTCAATGCAGGATGAGCGACTGCATGGGACGAGTCGGACACAATCCCAAAAATTTTCTTCCGGCAAAACCATTACAAGTATATTAGACTATTTCAAGTTTGTTTTTGCAGTAAGTTATTTTGCTAATGTTTAGTTGCATACACGCAATATAATCAGAGCTATTAAATAATTATTACATAATGGGTTATATGTATATACTGTATATGTATATACCTAACTTAGATATAATAGAACAAAAATTATTTGGGTATTTTCAAATAGTTAAAAGAGTTCGTAATGATGCGATAAAATAACTGTTGGCTTGAAATTGATATTTCAGTTACATATTATGTCATGTATATCTATTCCTCCAATTTAAATAAGCGTTTCAAACATACAGTTACAATTTACAATTAAACGTCTGCCATGAATGAAATTTTGTGGATTCGTGCAGTAATTCTAATTTACAATTATTGGTTATTATAATGTTGGCCATTTAATTTCACATGCCAACCAAGATATTATTTATTTGAGATAAGTAGCGTAGCCAGCCCGACGATTTAGTCCCGCTATGCAAATATTTCCGTGTTCATTGACTGTGAAAACAATCAATTTCTAAAGAAATGAATAATGATAATAATTTTGAATTTGCATAGCGGGACTAAATTGTCGGGCTGTTTCTTATTTGATATTGTCATAGGATGAGAATTGAATCCTTTACAACACAGTTACCTAGAGTAAATAGAGTCCTTCCATCAAAGATCGTAAATCTATAATTACAGACAGAATTCGAGTTAAATATTATTTGTTGCGCATATTTATTTGTTACAATGTATCAGATCAATATTAAGATTTGAAAGATATGTATTTACTGTATCTTCATTACCAACCAACTGACGGATACATTTTCAAAAGAACTTATCAATGAAATGTGGGACCTCTCTCTAATATTTCTCTTGACATTTTTTTCTAATATATCGTTTCCTAAACCGTTGTTTTTTGGCAAAATTTAACCCTTGCAAATTGCCTTTTCACTGCATCATTGTTGGAGATATCACAAATAGAGTATTGTAATAAATCACCAACATAATAGCGGACCGAAATTCAAATTACTCTTTGTATGTTACCTGTCGCTTGAAAATTGCAACAGGTGAAAATTCCATGTAGTTCCTTGCTCAGAATGAGAATTATATGCGCAATTGCATTTAATTTAGGGCGGCATAATAGGACCGTATATCATTTGATAAGCTCTTACGAATGTAACCAGGCGAGGTGGAACGGGGCGTTTGCTGGAACGGACTTTGCTAGGACGCTCTCGTAATTATCGCGTTATGCTTTTAATGCAAGTAGAATCTTGACGTTTTCCGTCCCTTCCCCTCAAGACGAGAGCCAAGCTTACGGTAAGGTGGAAAACGAGAAAAACACCTATTTTGCTGCAAATTAACTATTCAGTCTACAAAGATTATGTTGGCATGAGACATTCCATTCATCGTTCCGTCGGAGTAATTATAGAATACAAGGCCATTCCGAAGCATTCATATTGATTTCATGTGGCTGCAAGACTTTATGATTATACCACATATCTGAAATATCTCGCTACATACCTGTATTTTGGCTATGTGGGACAAGCCACTTTGGCCACATGGACACATGGCTACCTTTTTATGTGACTACACATGCAATATTTTGTTTATTTGTCCACGTGCTATACTTTGGCTACATAGCTGCTTGCATACGTGATACAGTATCTTGGCTATGTGGCTACTTGGCTATATGACTACCTGGCTATAGCCACTTAGTATATACTTGGCTATGCGTAGCTACGTGGCTATGTGCATGGTTACATGACATACTTGCGTACATGGCTACCTGGTCATGTGGCTACATGGCTACCTGGATATACATTGTTACTTGGCTACATGTCTACTTGGCTGTGTGGCAACCTGGCCATGTGGCTGCATGGCAACCTGGCCATGTGGCTACATGGTTACTTGGCTACATGGCTACTTGGCTGTATGGCAACCTGGTCATGTGGCTTGATGGCAACCTGGCCATGTGGCTACATGGTTACTTGGCTACATGGCTACTTGGCTGTGTGGCAACCTGACCATGTGGCTGCATGGCAACCTGGCCATGTAGCTACATGGTTACTTGGCTACATGGGTACTTGGCTATGTGGCAACCTGGCTATGTGGCTGCATGGCAACCTGGCCATGTGGCTACATGGTTACTTGACTATGTGGCCACATGGCTTCATGGCAACCTGGCTATGTGGCTGCATGGTTACTTGGCTATGTGGCCACATGGCTTCATGGCAACCTGGCTATGTGGCTGCATGGCAAACTGGCCATGTAGCTGCATGGTTACTTGGCTATGTGTCCACATGGCTTCATGGCAACCTGGCTATGTGGCTGCATGGCAACCTGGCCATGTAGCTGCATGGTTACTTGGCTACATGGCTGTGTGGCTACTTGGCTACATGGTTTCCTGGCTATGTGCATGGCTACATAGATATACATGGTTACTTGGCTATGTGGCTGTGTGACTATTTGACCACATGGCAACCTGGCCATGTGGCTAACTTGGCTACATGGTTACCTGACTATATGGCAACATGGCTACCTGAATATTATGTGGCTACATGTGTAGGTGGCTATGTTGCTATACTTGCGTACATGGCTGCTGATTATAATTGATCCGTCCCGTCTCGGCAAACGTCCCGTCTCATTTCTCTTATAAAGAGAAACACAACCCAGAAACAACGCGTCCTAAACGACCTTTGACATTGGGTCGCTACGAACCCACATGAACAGATTTTGTGATTGGTTGAAAAAAACGAAACACAATACAGAATCAATTTTCTAAAGAACGAATCACCAACAATGATCTCTTTTGTGTTTGCAAGCCAATCACAAAACATATTCATTTTAGGATGGTATTTACCCTTGACATTTTAATTCAAGTTATATTGAATTCGTCTAGTTTATATACCTCTGGTACTTCGGGTTCATTTCCTTCATGTATAGTTTCTAAATTACTGACGCTGCTAGTTCGCGACATTGAACGACTCGACCTATCATCTGCTCCTCGATTGGAGAGTCCAGTTGCTTGATTGTTGTTTATGTTTTCCAAACTTTCCACAAGTCCTCTCCTAGATAGTTCTGAGCCATTTTCTCCATTTTTCTTGTCAGCACTGGCAATAAAGTAGAAGCATAAATGTCAGACACGTTTTCGCCAGTGGCGGACACTTCACGGATTATGGTGCCAACATATGGCTACCTTTTATATATATATCGAATTCTCAGTTATTTAAAGATATTCTTTAGATTCTCAGTTTTTTTAAGGTTTGTTGCTTTAAATTTGATGTGATATTCAACTTATTTAACCTACCAATGTTTTTATTCTTGAAAAATTATTGTTGCAGCTTTGTTACACAGTTATTCAGCTATCATTCGACAGTTTTCAAAAATTAGGAGGGGGTGGGACGTTGCCTTGTGTTCGTCACTGGTTTTCCCTTGTTACCTTAGTTTAAGTATTCAAACGCGTTAACTCACGACCCAAATTAACTTTTCAACCCTTCAGTCTAGTATCTTAAATATGGGATGATCTGTTCTGTTTCTTATATAGGGATGACGTCATCGGTCAAAAGGTGACAATCTATTTCTGTTCATCGCAATCCTAATCACAACCCTAGCAATCAAGCAAGCGAGGAAGCAAGTAAGCAAGTAAACTAGTAAAAGTGAGGTGTGCAGCTAATCATCCTTACTTACAACTGAGACCTAAGCTGAATTGCGAAGGACGCAGCTCAACCTGATCCAGTCGAAGACTTACTAAGGGCGCCTCTGGCAGCCATCTTATGACTCATGTCTGATCACGGAACACAGCTATAGTGGATGGGTCAGTTACGGGGCTAATCCCAACCCACCTTGTCAACATTCCCCGTGGGAGGAAACCGGAATACCCGGAGAAAACCCACGACTTAATTCGGTAGAGCGTTACAGACTCTTTTCACATAAGTGTCATATGTCTGATGTGTCCTAACTCCCTTCTTTGCAAAACAAGAAGATACAACCGATATATTAATCTTCATTCAATGCATGCTTTGTCGTGCCTTGTTTTTAGGAAACATCTCCGACCATAGATGTTGTGGTTGGCACTGATCCGTGAGTTCAGTGAAAAAAACCCAATATAACCTCTATACTGAACAACGTTTCGTTCTTTTTAGATTAAAAATGATCAAATAAATACCTCTTCTGTCGTCTTCTGTGTCTTATCCACATGATAAATGCAAGAACTATTGCAGCCAGGAAAAGTACACACATGATAGGAATCACAATTAAAACAACAGCGTCAATGTCATCTATATAACGCAATGAAACAGATAGGTAAGTTCACCGTTTCAAACGTTGCAATATTCATGTACGGAATCCTATGACAACTGCTGTTTCAGCTCAACTGTATTAGGTTCGTCACATCAGGCTCTAAGGCTTCTCATATACCCAATTGAATTGTGCCTTTTTGGGCCTTGCCCTTAACAGCGAGGTATTTCTGCAGTCCATGCACATAATAATATTTCAATCTGTTGCTTGTCCATGAAGAAAGTCAAACTAAGTTGACCAGCATTGCTCGGTAATATACGCCATGGTCGTGATTTTGGTTTTATAGAGAAATATTTACGCCATTTTTACCTTCACTCCTAGCATTAGATGTGTTACCTACGAGACAAATTTATATATATTTTAGTCTAAAATATATTTTCATCTTTATGTATCACGTTTACATGATTTGAGATTTTTGGGTCTCCCGTTCGATAGAACTAATAGTAGATAGTTTTTTGTAGATGAAATTGTTGTGTAGAGGGAGCAGTTGCGAAAACTGCAACTAAAGGCCCTCTGGCAGAAATCGAGCCTGTGATTCCGGTGCAGCGCTTTAACCAACTGAGCTATACAGGGTCTAGTTGATGAGCATTAACTATAATTATTATATAAAGTATAGTGCTTTAAAGAGATTTCGAGCACTGATAAAAATGATAATCTCACATGTGAGATTATTTATGATAATCTCACATGTGAAAATTATCGCTTTTCATGTTCAACACTCGAAATAAATCTGGTTCAACACATGCATGATATCATGTTCAACACTCGAAATAAATCTGGTATTTCCGCGCACCCATGTATTATTCTCTGTGTAACTATTCCTCAAGTGCACTCTTCCCATCAGCCCCTTCGCCCATCTCTCCCCACTACAATACTTCATGTAAACTCGTCATATGCGCATCACTGTTTTTTTTACAAAGAGACGCCTGGGTACGAGGCAGATTCCAGTATGGATATCACAGTAGAAGGGCCGCAGGTTCTATTCTTGCTAGTTTGCCCATAGTTGCATTTTTCGCAATTGTTCTTGGTTAGGTCTAAAAATGTATATATAAAGTTCGAAAATTCCATCTACAATAAACCCATGCATCTTTATATGATTTGGCCTATTTTATGACGTTGGAAAACAGTCAATCAGGCCCTATAAATTAAAAGCAGCATTTACTGGTGATCAACAAAATGCTATTAAACAACAGTAAAGCTAAACGAATAATTACCGTCTGAAAAATGTGACAAGAAAGACATGGAATCGTCTTAAAATAGCTCTATAACTGTTATGACTTAATATACAGTATAGTTATACAATATACTGACCTACTACTGGAGTCGTTGGTGTTGCAGTGGCTATAAATAAGATAAATAATTATATTGGTTAGCATTTAATAACTCATGAAGAAAACACAAAAGAAATCATGACCGTGAAGGAGTTTGTGTATTTCTAACCAGCTATCATGCATGCATCTATTTTAAATTGTTGAATACGAATGTTCTCATCAAGACGTTTCACAAGCCATTTACAACATTCGCGTCCGTGTTGTATCGGATATACAAACTCTCGCCTTCGCCTCAAGTTTGCATATCCGATACAACACGGCTGCTCATGTTGTAAGTAGTACGTGGAATACACATTTAACAGAGTTCGTATTGCCATATTTACACAATACAAGATATATAGCATTTAGTTGCCATCTCTTGATCCCATTTTATCATTATGCTACAGGAGCTACAGGTTATTTTCAAATTTTGATGAGAGTTTTGCATCAAGTGGTAATATCCAGTCAGCTCTCATCAACTCTTATGCCACTCCTGTTCTTGTTCCATCGTGCCATGAGAGTTGAGAAAACTCTCATACAAACTCTCGCATTCCTGCAGTCAATTTTCATTCCCATTTTACCAGGAATTAATTGATGAACCGTGCACAACTCACTTGTTATTGAGATGATCTAGGGGAATAACTTGTAACTTCTTAACAAATAGGCTCTTTTTCCCTCCAAAGGATTAAAATATTATTGTACTAATTGAAGGAAAAATTCTATGAGTGTTACTTACCTTGCTCGCGCGAAGACGAAGATGTTGCATGATATAAACTTGATTTGACGGGAATGACCAATCCATCAGCTGTTGAAGTTGATCGAGGTGGACTTTCTGGGATGTTTGTAGACTGTTGGTATCTTGAATTTGTTGAAATTTCTCTTGTCGTAGCTGATGTACTAAGTACGAAGTACGAAGAATGCGCTTGAGAAGATGATGTTTTTGTGTGTTTTGGAAATTGACTGCTTGTTGTGATATCCGAGGGATACTGGGTGGTCATTGTCAACTGAGACGAGGTAGGGAGTTTTGGGGTTGATGAACTGATCTTCCCGTTTGCTGATAGAGTGAGTTTCGGTGATTCTGTACTTATTTTTCCGTACGAAGACGTTACCAGTACGAAAGAAGTTGTGATAATACTTGTTATTTCCGCCACTGAACTAGTTTTCATCGCATCAATACTTACCGTTTCACTCGTGCTATAAGCACTCATATCAGACGAAGAGACTGTGTTGCTCAAAGAAAGAGTTTGGGCGTTAATGGCAATACTTTTTGTAATATCTTGGCTGACTGATACATCCATAGTGTTTGAAGAAGTTATAATAGTGGACGATGATTGAGGTATAATGGAAGATGTTGGCAATATCTCAGTGTTTGTCACTTGGTGCATGCTTGATTTATCCATCGTTTGTGTTGGCGGCGGTATTTCAATGGTTGTAATTTGTTGAGTGCTGGAAATTTTCATCATTTCTGATGTTGTTTCTAATAGATCAGGAGAGGACTTGCTGCTGACCATTTCGACCTTGTCGCTTTCTGACACTACTGATGATTTGGATGTGATTGTGGGGACCATTTCTGTGTTCATTGGTAAAGTTAATTTTGTGGTAGTTGGTTGAGACATTGACGTGTAACTTGACAACATTTCCGTTTGTAAAGTGGAGGAATGTTCGCTTTGTGGGACTTGAGTTGTTGTCATAGAAACAGATGTGTAGTGCATTGAGGTAATAGGTTCAGTTTCGGTTAGTGTCAGTGCTGATGTTTGCATTTCTGGTACAGAGCTCGATTCCATATTGGTGAATGATGACATTGCTGTTTGTACTCTTATGGTCAGAGCATTCGAACTTATCAGATCTGGCATTGAACTGCTTTGATGAGCAATTGTTGGGCTACTTTCTAACATAACAGTAGAAAGTTTGCTGGAAGTGTACATCATTTCTTGGATCGACGAGATTCCAGCGAAAATGCTTGATGTCTTCATCTCTGTTTGAGAGGTAAAACTCGGTTGTATAACCATTGTTGTTATTTGCCCCATGACAGTTGATACAGTGCTATTTGTCGGCAACCTGGTTGACATTACAGTAGTGAAAACAGTGGAAGAAACGCGTAGGAGTTCTAAAAGAAGAGAAGGTTTTCTTAGTATTGTTAGTCAGCAGCTTGGTACGTAGGGGGTTGTAAGCTATAATAAGTTCTTCATGATATATCTGAAAGGTGAGGTGAGGATGTGCTTTACAATAGTTATGTGTTAGAATTACTTCCAACAGAAACTCACTGAGTTTATAAGTGAAATCCTGAATCGGAGGGAAGCTGGTTGACAGAGGATTGCTATCTATGCGCTCTGTTATGACATCACATTACATTACAAAATGCACATCCTCCCTCGCAGGTGAGAAGGAAAACGTACAGCACACCTTCCCCTCAACTACGTGTCAAAACCTTATACAACCCTAAATCTTACATGTATAGGGTTTTCAGCAGAATTATTTAAAATAGCGTGTTTAAAACTGTTCAAATAGCCTATGGTCAAATTGAGAACTATACAGAACTATGCATTTATTAATAAGCCAGCCTTGTGTTCAGAAACGCTAAGGAATTTTGAACTGCTGAACCTAGGCTGTGGACACACATCAGAAACTGGTGCATTGGCACACTTATTGAAGGGAGTCTGGGGGGCATTCGTCTTTGAACAATAGGTTTTTTATATCGACTTTTAAAATATCTATAAATTATATACTGTCCTCCTCCCCCCCCCCCCC